CCTCGGCACCTGCTCCAGATTTCAGGGTATCTTTCTTTCGTTTCATCTCTGATCTAAATTGATTTCGCAATGTGGGAATTTTTTCGATGTTCATAGATGCATCTGATTTCTTCACTTATTTTTTCTAATGCTTGAAGTCTTGAGATTCTGTCTGTGTAAACCGAACTTTTTACTTTCCATAGGCAAGGTGCCTGTCTATATAACTCAATAAGCCTCTCAGTAACATCTCTGTTCCAGTCTCCGTCATGCGACATTGCAAAGCAAAGTAAATAAATAGGTAATTGTGTGTAAATAGGGTAAGAGCGACAGCAACGCACAACCTACTCAGACGGCAGTCAAAGGCTCAAAGCGACACTCCCGAGATGAGCGCTTGAGCGGCTGCGGCTCATCAGAGATGAGCGGCTCAAAAGAATGAACACTGCTTCATTCGCCGATGAGCCCGTGTTGATGGTCCGGACTGCCTCAGTCTGGACTGAAAAAGCCAGTTTTTCAGTCGTCAGTCGCACAGAGTCTCGTAGTGTGGACGAGCCTTAATGGACCTTCATGATTCCTGCCTTCCGGAACGTACCGTCAACCGGGGCAACTCGGGACTGGCGGGGCAACTCGGGACGCACCTCTGACACGTCGTAAAACAGTCATAGTAGCGAAACTAATTGGAATATTGCTAAACTAAATATAGTGGCCTAAACAACAACATTTTTCCTATCTATGTAGTAGAAAGGAAGTCGAAAATAACGACATTTACTAGCTTTGAAAAATTCCTGAAAAAAATGGTGAAAAACGCTATTTGAAAAGTTACTTCTGCTAAGGTCTGTAGCAAAAAAAATATTTGCCGTATTAAAAAATTTTACTTACATAAAAGTTGCACCCAGGTGTTGGCTTGAAAACGTAATTGACAGATTTTGCCTATCTCATTACAAAAAAAATGGCGGCCATTTCCGCACGGCGGGGCTACTCGGGTTCTGGCACCTTACGAATAGCATATGGAATTTTTTTGAAGATGCCATTCGATAGCCCTCGCAAAGAGCTATAAAATGAGCCAAAACTTGTTTATGAAATGTTTCATCCTGAGAAGTTATTAACAAAAAACGCTCAAAACCGTCCCGAGTAGCCCCGGTTGACGGTAGCCTTCAACGCTTCAAGCCGTCCGTATCTAGGCCATGCGTCGAACGTGCCCTCGATCGGACGACCTCTTGTCGAAGGACAATAAATTTTGGAACAGAACTATGCTACCTGAAACCTAACCTCAGATGGGGTGAACGTAAAATTACGTAATTTAACGATGCCCGGAAGTCATATCACTCATATTCGATCCGCGGCCTGGTGGTGCGCGGCAGGTTCTATGCAAGGCCGGAGGAGGACAAAGCCGAGTGGTTCACGGCTGATTGGTTTGGTCATTGGTGGATGTCCGGAGAGATCCAAGGCGTTTGATTCAGGTTCAGGGCTTCTTGGTGCACAAAATTGGTGGTGCACGGCTGCGCTCTCAAGCTCAGAATGTACTGTTTCTTTTTCAGAATCCATACCTTGAAAATCTTTTACTTCCTTGAAGTTGAACCTTGTAGGCTCTAAGGCTTGTAGTATCAGCTCTAGGTGGAGTTTACTGCAGAAGCTCTCAGGCCCAACGGTCATCCTTGCGGTTGTCCTGTGGCTTTAAGTCCACCCAGCGGCAGCGTGGACACCCGTCACCCGGGAAAAGAAGAAGAATCAGGTGGAGTAGATATCCCCTGAAAATACACACTGCAATAATTTGTTGCCTGTTCACCTGCCAATTTGTCCTGCCAAGCTGCAGCATGGTAAACTGTAAAGTGTAAACACCCAATTAAGATACACAGTACGTAACTCCAAGCATGGCCCTCTGCACGGCCCAGCACGGGCTCACGGGCAGGATGTTAGGTACTCTAGATTACGTGCATCCAAAAAAGGTGTTTTTTTTTAATCGTATGTTTTTTGATGTGTAGAAGAATCTGAAATCCGTTTTTGGTGGTCGCCTGGTCGGCATCGGAAAACTGATTTTTTTCTGATTTTTTTATATACTTACCTATTTTCTATAGAAAAAACAATGGGGGACCCGTGGGGCATGGGGAACCGGAAATTTTAGGGGGGGCCGGGGGGGGGGACATGCCCAAGGCTCTAATTCATCAAAAATTCAAAAGAATCAGGAAAAAATCTGCAAAATTGGCAAAAAATTGGAAAAATTTTTTGACTGGAAATGATCTATATACCTAGATCTGGGAATGACTGTAAACCTATGTAAAACCTAAAAATAGCGCTAGGTTAGGTTAGGTAATAGGTTAGGACCATTAAGGCCCGTTCACACTAGGGGCAACGCACGAGAATCAAATGCCTCAAAGCGCATGCAGAGGCGCTTTGCAGCCTCTGCATGCGCTTCTTGACCGATTGACGAGCTAGCGATTGACAGGGGCCATGCCTCATGCAACACAAGCGCGGCGCTTAGTAGATAGCTATTAAAGAATTGATATCACTTGTATGCCTAAATTGCAAATTAGCTAAGAATTTAAATTAAATTAAAAATTTAAATCAAATTAAAAATCTAAATTAATTAATTGAAGAAATTCAATTCTTTCTATGGTTTCAATGTATCAATTTGTGACTTCTGATTTGTGATTCTAGATTCTACGAACTGACGATGGAGCTGGACTCCGAAACGTTTTCTATGGAGATATGATTTTTGTGGACTATTCTTTGCTTTTAAATTCTTAGTTAGTAAATAGCTGTCTGTGGTCTAATAAGGTTGATTGTGTACGCCCACTCTCTAGTAGAGCGCCTAATTGATCTTCATAGAGAACATGAATGCATATGGGAGTGTTCGGTCAAAGGAGTACAAAAATCGAAATGAAAATGATGTAAGTTATTTTTACATGACGTGTTTAGTTTATGTGATTGTAGCAACTCCTGACAATTTATGCATTACCGTTTAGCGATTTCAAAGGATGATATAATATCGGTACGAATATTGGAACTTTTTATTTAAGAATAGACTACGGTTATATTTTTTATAAACTGTATCTTTTTGAATGTGCTAGTTCTCTAATTATGATGCCTATGCTAAATTCTCGTTTACAACTGGCATAGTGCAAAGAATGACGGACCGCAGCACACCCGAGAACAATGGCCCACAGCTCAAATTCAGTTACATCCATCCTCATTGACGTCTAGGTGGCAACTGGTGTTCAAAGCGCGCGGTCTCAAACCACTGAGTACAGAAGTAGTGTGAACGGTTGTGCGCGGTGAGGCACTGCAGCAAACGACTCAGAGCGCATGTCGTTGCCACTAGTGTAAACGGGCCTTTAGAGTGGTCCTGGGTGGTGTGGGGTCTGGGGTGTGGCGTGTGCTGGTGCGGAATAGCAGCCTACATCCTAACCTAACCTAGCGCGATTTTTGGGTTTTATGTAGGTTTACAGTCATTACCGTAAAATGGGGTAACTTAGACCACTTTTTTTAGAAATGATGCCATTTTTTTACTAGCTAAATTAAACTTGAATTGAAACATGCAAAATACAGGTCTATACTCTAGCTTCACTCACCATAAATTGCTGGCTCCTGCCTCTCATAGTCTTTATGTAATTTCAAAAAAAGTGATGGTCTTTGTTACCCCAGCTCTTGGGGTAACTTAGACCAGGTGGTAAAATCAAGTATATTTCTTGATAAAATAACTCCAAATAACTCCAGGTTTTGGTGCATTGTAGTAGAACTCTTCTAGTTACATATGCAAATGACAAACTTGAGGAAAGTGTCATAGTTTGCAAATGGGGGCACCGCCCCATAATGAGGGAAATGTGTCTACCTAATGGCAGCCCTGATGGGATAATATTGACTGGCTTGGAAATTAAGTTAAAATTACCATATATAAGACTCTGTAGAGTCTGAAAATAAAGAAAAAACATAAATAGGCTGTCAAACATGAAATATGTTATATATGGTAATTTTATATTAACTTCCAAGCCGGTCTATGTTACCCCGTCAGGGCTGACATTAGGTGGTCTAAGTTACCCCATTTGGGGGCGGCGCCCTCCATTTGCAAACTATTGCAAACTTTTCAAATCTTTCTATTGTGTTATGTAGCCTCAGTATTAGGCCTTTAATGCCCATTGACAAAAATTTTCTATGTCAAATAGTTTTTGAGTTGTGGGGGTTTTTGTTAAAAAAACGAAAAGTGGTCTAAGTTACCCCGCCGGTCTATGTTATCCCATTTTACGGTACTCATTCCCAGATCAATATAGATCATTTCCAGTCAAAAAAATTCTGATTTTTTCAAATTTTTTGCCAATTTTTGCCTGATTTTTTTATGAATTAGAGCCTCGGGTGTGTCCCCCCCCCCCTAAAACACCCCCGGTTCCCCATGGGTCCCCCATTGTCGTTCCCTATAGAAAATATATAAAAAATCTGCTTTCTGATGCTGACTGCCAAAAAACGGATTTCAGATTCTTAATCTACACCCCAAAAAACATATAATAAAAAAACACCCTTTTTTTTGGATGCACTTAATCTAAAGTACCGTAATACCATGGGCAGTAATTAATTCTTTTTATCTCTTCTTTCACACAACAACCGTCGGCTGGGGAGAGTGAGCTAGAGATTAATCTGTGAAACGACTGGTGAGTGGTGGCGAGAGAAAAAGGCTCAGCTCAAAATCAAGTTTTGCTCAGACTGAGAGGTGTGATCTCTTCATATGGTCATACCTACCCAGTCTTAAAATCAATTATAAATTTTTTTTCAGAATGAAGGCTATGAAGCAGGGTGTCAAATGAAGGCTGTACATCCAGATGGTCCAGAGCAAGAGCAGAGGATTCAATCTTGAGCAGTGAACTATTTGCCATAGCTCAGGCTGCTCTTATGATTAGCACTAGCAGATTAGGGATACCCAGATAGGAATGCTGGTGAAGCTGGTCAGTTGTCAGTGGTCACCAGGGCTGTGGGTGGCACCAGGCCACTGAGGGCCAGGGTGCAGAATTTGCAAGCTGTGTGGCCAAGATATGTATTTTTATTTATTTATTTATTTTCTTTCATTTAGCATTGTTCTTTTTGCTGTTATTCTTCTTGTAATATTTTTTCTGCATATTTCTTGTTCAGATTTGCATATTTTTAGATGTTACATAACTAATAGGCACACATTAGACCCTATTTAGACCAGGGGCTGCATGGACCAGGATCCAGTGCTCCTATAAGACAAAATAAGATACCTAAGCTAATAACATCAATAGGTTGTTTAAGCATATTCATTCATTATCAGTGTGTTGTACAGTCTTGGTAGCTGGTCTCTATTATTTAAGTTGATTAATATATTTCATCATGGCTGGCCGAGCTTTGAAGAGATTAATGGCAGAATACAAACGTGAGTAAAAATCTGAAGGATGTTTGTCTGACTGAATGAGTAAATAATACTATCATCAATGATTCTTGGATAGTAACATTCGTTTGTTTTAAATGGAAAGATATTTTTGGTTACTTTTTCAATTGAAACAATGTTTGTATCATTTGTATCATCACTCCAGCAAACTATTATTATTCCTATGGCTTGTATCACTGATAAATATTCACTCTTTTCCAATTTCAAATTGCAAATGCAATTGTAGATCTCAATTGAAATTATAATTCCCAAATTATTTGTTTGCATCTAGACAGAATTGTGAAAACAGTTATTTCTTCAGGAAATATCAAGTTTTATGATATATTTATTAATATTTAAAACCTTTTAGATCTAAATCACATGAAGGTACCATTGAATGGGTGATAAGGGACTGCTGGGTTAAATCAGGACAGTCCTCCATAATGGCACAAAAATGTTATAGCAGCAAAATTAATTGAAATATTACAAATTGCAAAACTAAAAATGCTGAAAATTTTTGAGAATGTTTGACTTTTTGTTGAGAATGTTATACTTTCTATGCAAACATGTACATATGAATTTTATAAGTGCAATATGTTAATATATACCTATGGTATCTAATAATACCTATTCATACATTTTGCTTTCAATGTCAAATTCACTTAATTCATTTTTAATGATGAAATTTTCGGAACTACGGTACATATTACTTGCAGAGTGTCATTCTGCTAGTGGCTGTCACTAAATTAGGTCTCCATTTTTATATTATGAAAATCCAGAATTTTTCACAATTATTTGTATGTACAGGTACTTCTTTTCATTCCAGTTAGGTTACGACTTTCAAATTATCTCATACCAGTATAGGTATACTTCAAAAAACTTCTCAACATATTAAATATTGAATTGAAAATATTTGAAGGCACACTTTAGCCATTGAGTCAGTTTCCAAGTTAGAATGGTTTTTAAAATTGTAGTTTTCAATTGCCAATATTTATTTGAGAGATTTATATGCTATAGAAAATAAATAACTTTTGTCATTTGAGCATTTCCATGTTTATTTTACCTATGTCACTTTTTCAGCTGGTAAATAGAATTATCTTTTTCTCTACAGAGCTGACACTGAATCCACCAGAAGGAATCATCGCTGGTCCGACAAATGAAGAGAATTTTTTTGAGTGGGAAGCTCTAATTATGTGAGTATGGCAGGCAGGTCTGGCTATAGATTTATGTCATTGGAATAATGTTTGAAATTTAATTTATTGAATATAATAATTCAAACATTGAATGAGCTTTTGATATTAATAAAACCTGCCACCAGTATCCGTAAACTAATGTGCTGCACCTTTTTCCTAGCATTATCAGTACGGTATATAGAAAGATATTTACAAAATGAATGTTTAAAAAAATACCCATGTGGATGAAATTTTTAACATTCCTCTGTGATGTGTGAAAACTTTAATTTTTTATTTTAATTTTAGAATATGTATGTTCTGATGCAAACTGCCTACAGGGGGCCAGAAGGCACATGTTTTGAGTGTGGGGTGTTCCCTGCCAAGCTGGTATTTCCTACAGACTATCCGCTGTCTCCTCCTAAGATGCAGTTTACATGTGATATTTTCCATCCTAACAGTAAGTTTACATGTGATATTTTCCATCCTAACAGTAAGTTACTTTCATAACTATATTCATTTTCTGACATTTTCCATCCCAACAAAATGTTGCTCTCATAACTACTACATGACTTGCATGCATGTTCAAGTTAAATCTAAGAGAAATAAATATACTGGGTTATTCTAAATTATGCATCCAATTTAATGAATTTATATATTTAAGTATAAATTCTAAATGAATAATTTATAAACCAATTGAAAGAGAAAGATTCAATTTTTTACATGTTTAGCAATGTTCAATATGTCCTTTGTGCCAGTTCTTCATCTCCCCCTTCGAAATGAAGATCTGGCTCTACACTTCTGGCCACCTAGAACACCTGATCTCGTGTGGCTATTTCTTATGGGGTTATGGCAAGGAAGCAAGAACTCACTCCGCATTGAGTGAGTTTCTGCCGCATCACAAACGGCGACGCATCAGCGTTACCGTGGACTAAGAAGTTCTAAACTCATCTACGTCCCGGCTCTACCAGCAACTCTGTTTACGTCCCGCCTCTACCAGCAACTCTGGTAGATCTGAAGAACCGTATCACTGCTACGGTGCACTCAGTAACTAAAGATATGCTTTCTCGTGTGAGACGAGTTAGGCTACCGTTTAAATGTTTGCCGTGCAGCACAAGGGGGCATATTGAACATTTATGAATATGTAAAAAATATGAATCTTTTTCTTTGCATTGTTGTATAAATTATCCATTCAAAATTTATACTTAAATAAATACGAATTTATTAAATTGGGTTCATCATTTAGAATAATCCTCTTCACTTTTAGGGGTGACATCAATTTGTTGCAGATACTAGAGTGTTTTGTATCTTTTAATGTTTTTCATGCTTATGTTGTCAAGTTCCTATGATGATTTCAGGTAGGTATAGAACATGGTCTTTTCAAAGGTAGATGCTGAATTACTGTGCAGCTCTATTTTCTGAACCGTCTCGCCATGCAAATAAAATCGTCGTGACTGCCATACAAATATCTTAATTTTGAGCTGCCATAGCAAGCAATGCTATAATTCCTTTAAAATGTACCTAATTAGCAATTCTGTGATTCATTCAAAATGAACCTATTACCATCTCTCTATTGTAATGTAGACTTAAGTCTGGTTATTTTACTTGATAACTTAACACTGCACGTCATGTTCATGACAGTTTACAGTGACGGGCGCGTGTGCATCAGCATCCTGCACTCGCCAGGGGAGGACCCGATGGGTTACGAGTCTAGCGCCGAGCGCTGGAGTCCCGTGCAGAGCGTTGAGAAGATCCTTCTCTCCGTCATATCTATGCTCGCTGGTAGATTTTCTTCACTTCTCACTAAATCTCTTAATGGCATACATTTTACATTATCTTGTAGCAATTGTTCTCTTCTGACTAAATCTCTTAATGGCATACATTTTACATTATCTTGTAGCAATTCTTCACTTCTGACTAAATCTCTTAATGGCATACATTTTACATTATCTTGTAGCAATTGTTCACTTCTGACTAAAGCTCTTAATGTTGTACATATATCATTGTCATGAAATAAATTCATTAAATTAGCCTTAACCTCGGACTAGGGTAATTTTGTTGTTGACGCATATATATCGTGGTGCAGTCATCTCAAGGAATAATGTGTTGCGTCAGTGCTACAGTCCTTTGCTTTAGATAATATGTAAATTTAGCTGACATGCAAAAAACCGGCGGTAAATGGAATGCTTATGTATACACATGTGTGTGTTATAAATTCTATGTTTGTATTCATGCCCGTTCAGTGTTATGTTGGATTTGATTGTATTACGTTTTGATTTTATTGTGTGCAACACAATAAAATCAAAATTATTTAACCCTATTATTAACAATAAAATTATTTAACCCTATTATTAACAATGTGTGCAACACAATAAAATCAATATTATTTAACCCTATTATTAACAATGTGTGCAACACAATAAAATCAATATTATTTAACCCTATTATTAACCATAAAATTATTTAACCCTCAGAACCTAACGCGGAGAGCAGCGCTAACGTGGACGCGGCGAAGCTCTGGCGCGACAACCGCGCGCAGTTCGAGCGACAAGCGCGGCGCCTTGTGCGCTCTACCCTCAACCTGCCGCCCTTGTAGCCTCCTGCTCCTGTAACCTCCTGCCCGTGTAGCCTCCTGCTCCTGTAGCCTCCAGCTCCTGTAGCCTCCAGCTCCTGTAGCCTCCAGCTCCTGTAGCCTCAAGCTCCTGTAGCCTCCTGCTCCTGTAGCCTCCTGCCCGTGTAGCCTCCAGCTCCTGTAGCCTCCAGCTCCTGTAGCCTCCAGCTCCTGTAGCCTCCAGCTCCTGTAGTCTCCTGCCCGTGTAACCTCCTGCCCGTGTAACCTCCTGCCCCTGTAGCCTCCTGCTCCTGTAGCCTCCTGCCCGTGTAGCCTCAAGCTCCTGTAGCCTCCTGCCCGTGTAGCCTCCAGCTCCTGTAACCTCCTGCCCGTGTAGCCTCCTGCCCTTGTAGCCTCCTGCCCGTGTAGCCTCCAGCTCCTGTAACCTCCTGCCCGTGTAGCCTCCTGCCCTTGTAGCCTCCAGCCATCACACACTCGAATAAAAGAATGCAGTTGTACGCGACTCGTTTAGCTCACTTGAACATGACGCTGCCGGAGGGTTCCGTTCTCTCCCTTTCTGTGCACAGGCTATTTTGCGTGCCTCCAGACCTGCATTGGTATTCCATTATTTGTAATTTCATCGAAAACTTATTTTTGTTTTTGAGTCAAAATCATGAGCGTCAGAAGCGTCCTTGATGACGACGCTTGATGTTGCATATTGCAACATCTATACATTCTAATGCCAACAAATATCATTACTGTTGAAAATACTTCGTTTAACAACAGAGATTTCAGCAATCGGTTCGATTTAGTTTCTTACTCTGGTTCTGTTTGTCAGTTTCAATATTTATCTTCCCCTCGTTTATCCCTTCGCTTTTTAGCGCATTTTCTTATTTATGGAAAAAATTCACTATTCTGTTCGCCATGTCCGTCTGTCTGTCCGTCCGTGACTTCACGTTTTTGTCGACGAGAAAATGCGCTCTCTGCCACTCACTGCAGTGAGTACTAACTACTGAGTTATATTATTGATGAATTTTGACAGAAACTGACAATTGTTTGTGCACTCAGCCTACAATTTTTAGGGATTTGATGAAATGAAGATGAAAGGTATTGATTAATTTCACATTTCGATGGCATGTTACTTGAGCGTGATGTGTCTCAGGACATATTTTTTTACCAATCTTCTTGCCCTTATTGTAAAGTTTTTATTGTCATTAAAGCTCTAATTTTGACGGAATAAAAGAAATAAATTGAGTTTTGTAGCATTTTGTTTCGCGATAAATAATTCCTTATATATAAGAGAGCTCCCAGCCGACAGCGGCCGTAGAAAAGAGGAAAAAAAAGTAAAAAATTTCTGTAGCGAGACTTCAAGGCTCCGAGAAATTCCCAAGTGTTGTCCTGGTGATGGTAGAGGCTGGTGGTCGAGCCTCCTGTGATGGTACGCAAAGAAAACAGTTCTCTAGTCCAGCATTTGGGAAATTCCAGATTCTTCAACTTCTCTTCAGGGCCAAATTAGTGAGTATAATCTCATTCGTGTGGTTGCCAACTACATCCACCACCGTGGCTGACGATGTCCATCGTGGTGGCAGCCGACGTCCACCGTGGTGGCAGCCGACGTCCACCGTGGTGGCAGCCGACGTCCTCCGTGGTGGCAGCCGACGTCCACCTACGTCCACCGTGGTGGCCGCCGACGTCCACCTTGGTGGCAGCCTACGTCCATCGTGGTGGCAGCCAACGTCCACCGTGGTGGCAGCCAACGTCCATCGTGGTGGCAGCCGACGTCCATCGTGGTGGCAGCCAACGTCCACCTTGGTGGCAGCCGACGTCCACCGTGGTGGCCGCCGACGTCCACCTTGGTGGCAGCCTACGTCCATCGTGGTGGCAGCCAACGTCCACCGTGGTGGCAGCCAACGTCCACCGTGGTGGCAGCCGACGTCCATCGTGGTGGTTGACTGTCCGCCGACGGGTACCCGGCAGTTAGTGCGCTGGGACGTGGCAGGAACAGACAGACGGCAGTTGGTAGACGTCTATGAAGAGCCCCTTGTACATGTCGCAGGGATCATACGACAGCAGGCGGTGGTACACGAACTTCTGCGTGCAGGCGCTCGAGTAGCAGGGGGCGAGGGCACGGCACGCCGCCCCTGGGTACAGGCACGTCTCCAGGCGCACCGTCTGCGTGTGGTAGTGCGCGTCGTTCACGATCACGTGCCACTTGCCCTGCACATTGCGGGCCCGCCTCAGTGTCGCGTAGGCCACGTCGCTGGGGCATATGTAGCCCTCGGGACCTGAGAACATGAATATCAGAATAGCATTTTAATTTGACGTCTCATGATGTAGAAACGTTCTTTTACGATCAGAGACACTTCAACTCTTCTACGTTTACATTAATTATCATCAACGCTATATGTATAAGAAGGCTTGGTAACCGGAGATGCCCCCAATGCATTAAGTTTTAATATATTCATCTAACTGGAGCCGAAATGCAATGTTATCACAAACGTGTGGGAATCTCTGTCGCTTACCTAGCATTGCTGTTGCTGACCATGCAAGCTAAAATAAGTGTTCTCTCGTAGTGATAGATAGATGATCTTTTGTAGGAGACACGACAACCTTAGCCATGCTGTCACGACTACCGTGCCACTTGCCTGCCCAGTGCGTGAGGTCGTATGGCGAGTGCCCTGTGGAGGCGCCCGAGTAGAAGGCGTAGTCGAAGGCCTCCTCCTGAAGCTTCGTCAGGAACTCTACCAGGTCGTCCGCCGACTGGTCGGGGACATCAGAGTACTTCTTGGCGAAGATGTAGTCGCTGCTGATGGCACTCGCGATGTCGCTGGCGGGATACTCGGGGTCTTCGAGGCAGTAGGAGGTGCCGTTATAGGCACATGCAGGGGGCTTGGTGGGGTCGCAGTGGCCGTACAACGGCTCGGGGCTTGCAGGGGGGCCATAAGTCGGGGGCGAGTGGGGGTGCCTGGGGGGCAGTTTGCCGTAGCTGGGGGTGGAGTGTCCGTACGTGGGAGGCGAGTGGCGGTCACCCAACGCCACCAGCACCTGACACGCCAGCAACACCGACTGCCCACAAAACAAATTATTTGCCTAAAATTGTATATCCAATTCCTGACCAAGCGCTGCCTGCTTATGCTGTCAATTCCCCGTCAGCATCGCAGCTACTATGCAGTCGACGACTTCGTTACGAGTGACAACGTCACTTGTAGCGAATTGAGAGATGATAAACTTGGTTAATATAATTGCTTTAATCTAGGCATTCAACAACTACGATTTTTTTCTATATTTTTGGCAGAAGGGAGAAAAAATGTCCACGGTTTTTACGTTTAGTACGTTTCTTACATTTTCGTAGGATGTGTAATTAAAATTTTTATTCACAATTTGACGTGTCTTTTCTTTCGGCACGAAATTTAGCCTCGCAAAAATCCGTAATCTAAAGCGCACTTGATTTCGAAATAGATTTTTGCGAGCCGCTGAGAATGAACAATAAAATTGTGTCGTATGGTGCATCAAAACCTTTTATCTCTCTGAAACATTTTTGTTGTTCTGTTGATAGATTAATTACAAAATTTGTATCCACCTATTAATCTCATGTGGCAGTTGAGCTCGTGAACATACAGTTATACGCACCACTGAGAAGATCATAATGAAGGAAGGGGAAGGAGTTCCTAGGAGAGGTCGTGTCTCGTCGACCTGCTGAGTAGCTCTGCCGGAACCAGCCTGTCGCCCGCCTTATATAGCCTCGGTAATTACCTCGCGAGGTCACCTACTAACGCTCGCTCCCATTGGTCTCTTAATTTAGTTTGAGCACCAATCAGTACGACGAATACCTAATGCTCCACCACTCACAAGCGCGGATATACGTGACGTCACACTCTTACTTTCAGCGGCGGTTGCGCGCGATCTTCGGAGAGGGAAACTTTCACCTTGCGAAGACGCGCGCAAATTACGACGTACGAGACCTGCGTAAACTGCGTCAGGGTCACACGCAACAGCTCTGCAACCCCGAGAACATATCAGCTTAACGCCATGCAAATATTGAAGTCAAACTTGCTAATTGGTGCGCAACGCAAGGCCAGCGCAAGAGTTCGTTAGCAGCGAAGCGTTTGATGTCTTGCGAGGCAGCAAACTGCTTAGACGGAGTCGCAACCTTCTCTTGACTAACGGTAACTCAATTACCAGAACTTGGTGTAGTTACTTGGTGTAGTTACTTGGTGTAGTTACTTGGTGTAGTTACTTGGTGTAGTTACTTGGTGTAGTTACTTAGTGTAGTTACTTGGTGTAGTTACTTAGAGTAGTTACTTGGTGTAGTTACTTGGTGTATTTACTTGATGTAGTTACTTGTTTAGTTACTTGTGTAGTTACTTGGTGTAGTAACTAGTGTAGTTACTTGTTTAGTTACTTGTGTAGTTACTTGGTGTAGTAACTAGTGTAGTTACTAGTGTAGTTACTAGCAGAGCTGGGCAGCGCTACTGTGAAATGTAGCGGCCGCTACCGCCACCGCAACAATTGTTGCGGTTGGGTGGATAGCTAGAGGTCAGCATAGCCCAAGTCCACAGTACGATTCATATACCTTCCCGAGCGTAACGCAGCCGGGCATCTTCACGGCTTTTGACACAAAGCGCCCACCACAACAGCGCCGTTCAGTCACAGGCAGGAGCGCATACAGGCCGGAGCGCAACAGGCCCTACCGCAACAGCTACTCCTAACGTAACGTAATGTAACCTAACCTAACCTGCGCCGCCTGTTGCGGTAGGCCCTGTTGTGCTCCGGCCAGTTGGGCTCCGGCGCTGTGGAGCAGTGGCTGTGTTGTGCACAGCGGATTTACTGTTAGCCGAAGTTACCCACAGCTCATTGATCTGAGGCTATGTGCAGATATTGCATGCTGATGGTTGGCGTTGGGCCCAGGGCCTGTTTACGAGTCAATTTTGTGACCCACGGCTGCGCTCCCAACAATTGCTTAAATGTAGCGCCGCTACCGCTACATGTAGCGCGCTACTGCCCACTTCTGGTTACTAGTGTAGTTACTTAGTGCAGCTGCCAGTGTAAATGAAATATCAGGACACAGTTTATTTGCTATAGTGTAAAAATTTATTCATATATGTTACAAAATAGCGGGTATCCCGACATTACGGTAGTAACTTTATTGCGGACCGGAACTTACTAGGGACGAGTTATTTTTTGGTATTAAGGGTTGTTGACTTTACGCTCTCATCCTCATCGGAAGTCTCCTTCTGATCGATATCTTATTTGTACATACTGATTGCTGCTGCTGTAATAAAGTACTATTTGGGAGTGCTTGATCTATTTCCTATGGATGTGCCAAAGCTGATGTGGAGAACCCAGATGAAGTACTACTGCTAGACAAAAGGTTAGCTCTTTGTCTAAATTTTATTTTCCTAACAATTTCAACGAATAATGGCGTCAGAAGCAAGTCATTAACCTGTTATTAGTAATTTTCGTAGGATTAGTTTGATTACCGATATTTTATAGATAGATATGATCTTAGCTGTCCCGCATCATCTGTCCCGCATCATCTGTCCCGCATCATCTGTCCTGCATCAGCTATCCTGCAGGACAGCTGACGAAATTCCCCGCTTATACTGCCCAGTAGCTGAAATTATAGCTTACGGAGCGTCCAGCACCTGATAAAGCAACGAAATTCCCCACTTATACTGCCCAGTAACTGATATTATAACTTTTGGAGCCCCCAGCACTTTATAATGCAACACAATTCCCCACTTATACTGCCCAGTAACTGATATTATAATTGATGGAACGCCCAGCAGTTTATAATGCAACAGAATTTCCCACTTATACTGCCCATTAACTGGTATTATAATTTAATTATTGAGCGCCCAGCACTTTATAGTACAACGAAATTTCCCAATTATACTGCCCATTTACTGATATCAAAATTAATGGAACTTCCATAACGGTCCATAACTTAATTATATTCCAAACGTGCCGCTTTAAAAGGCTGCGATCATGTCGTCGTGATAAAATTTACACCGAGGCTCATCCAGCGGTAGCAATACTGTGATTGGTTCAGCCAATCTCCAATCATATTCCAATCAGTTCCGCCATTTTAATTATATTCGTCAATAATGCAATCAGCTGCAGACATGAGACTTGTTTTCTTTGTAACTTTTTATGTGATTTGGCTTGTTCCTAGATGCCTATTCAAGATCATTATTGGAATTTAAATAAAATTTCTAGTCCCTCGAGCACTTGCTAAGCGAACCTTTGTGTAGCACGACTGTTGCCCTCATTCCCTCTGCCCTCGCGTGAGGGTCACAACTTTTGTCATTATTATTAATAATAATAATAACGTCTGGTTCAAACGAACTTCGAGGGAACGTCACACATAACATTAATGGCAAGCGAAAAGCTCTTAACCGCATGCAGTACCATGGGCGAGTATATAAAGAGCAACTCATCAAGTTCACTTCTTAGTCTTGACCTTGGGTCGCTGGGGTGCACACGTCGTACCTCGTCAGCTCATCAGCCGTCTCGTCATCGCCACATGGCACCACGCAGACGTCGGGTGGCGGTAGCTTGGCTGGTGAGTTCAAGCTTAAAGTTTAATTAATGAGTATATTGGTACATGAATTATCCTGCTGCAGCTATTATTATTATTATTATAATTATAGCAATTTCTGGAGAGAATAGTCCTGTTCTACGTCCTCTTGTATCTGTCATGTATGATTGGATGCGACCGTCGCGCAGGCACTGGGCGGGAGCTGTGGTCTTTTCCACGCACCCTCAGTCTCCTTATAGTTGATGCTATAAACCTATAATAAATACCGCTTAAAGCACTTGAATTACAATTATAATTGTCAGGGGATACTCATTAAAGTGAGCCAAGTGATGGAAGTTAGTAATAAACTCATGATTATTTATTTTTCATCACGCAGAACCGCCTCATCCAGCCTGGTGAGGCATGCAGACTCAGTCCTACGGGTATCATGAAAGAATGAACCTTTTTGAGCCGCACTACTTGATTAACTGTGTTCAGGCTAAGCATTTTGGTCGTACTTGTTAACTGATTTTATCTCTGCAAGTCATACACATAACTAACTCCGAAATATTTTTTATAAGAGAAATATAACTTTGCGACACATCATCTGCCATTATTCTTACTAAGGCTGAAGGTTTGTTTAGGATGGTAGGAAATAATTACCGTTTACGTGCGGCTAGTCATAAACAGCACTCGATGGCCATACACGTGACATGGGGTCTTTTTCATGTGTATCCTTGGGGATGGTGGAATACTGTCCATCTGCCCTCAGAGGCAGCTGATGCCCTCAGTTGGGGCAGCTGATGCCCTCAGTTGGGGCAGCTGATGTCCTCAGTTGGGGCAGCTGATGTCCTCAGTTGGGGCAGCTGATGTCCTTAGTTGGGGCAGCTGATGTCCTCAGTTGGGGCAGCTGATGTCCTTAGTTGGGCCAGCTGATGCCCTCAGTTGGGGCAGCTGATGCCCTCGGTTGTCAGTTGGGGCAACTGATGCCCTCAGTTGGGCCAGCTGATGTTCTCAGTTGGAGCAGCTGATGCCCTTAGTTGGCCCAGCTGATGCCCTTAGTTGAGGCTGCTGATGCCCTTAGTTGGGGCTGCTGATGCCCTTAGTTGGGCCAGCTGATGATGCCTTTAGTTGGGCCAGCTGATGCCCTTAGTTGGGGCTGCTGATGCCCTTAGTTGGGGCTGCTGATGCCCTTAGTTGGGCCAGCTGATGATGCCTTTAGTTGGGCCAGCTGATGCCCTTAGTTGGGCCAGCTGATGCCCTTAGTTGGGCCAGTTGATGCCCTTAGTTGGGCCAGCTGATGCCCTCAGTTGGGCCAGCTGATGCCCTCAGTTGGGGCAGCTGATGCCCTTAGTTGGAGCAGCTGATGCCGTTATTTGGGCCAGCTGACGCCCTTAGTTGGGGCAGCTGATGCCCTCAGTTGGGGGCAGCTGATGCTCTCAGTTGGGGCAGCTGAAGCCCTCAGTTGGAGCAGCTGACGCCCTTAGTTGGGGCAGCTGATCGCCCTTAGTTGGGGCAGCTGACGCCCTCAGTTGGAGCAGCTTATTCCCTCAGTTGGAGCAGCTGACGCCCTTAGTTGGGGCAGCTGATTCCCTCAGTTGGAACAGCTGATGCCCTCAGTTGGGGCAGCTGATGCCCTCAGTTGGGGCAGCTGATGCCCTCAGTTGGGACAGCTGATGCCCTCAGTTGGGCCAGCTGATGCCCACAGTTAGAGCAGCTGACGCCCTTAGTTGGGGCAGCTGACGCCCTCAGTTGGGACAGCTAATGCCCTCAGTTGGGGCAGCTGAAGCCCTCAGTTGAAGCAGCTGACGCTCTTAGTTGGGGCAGCTGATGCCCTCAGTTGGGACAGCTAATGCCCTCAGTTGGGCCAGCTGAAGCCCTCAGTTGGAGCAGCTGACGCCCTTAGTTGGGGCTGCTGACGCCCTTAGTTGGGGCAGCTGACGCCCTCAGTTGGAGCAGCTTATTCCCTCAGTTGGAGCAGCTGACGCCCTTAGTTGGGGCAGCTGATTCCCTCAGTTGGAACAGCTAATGTCCTCAGTTGGAGCAGCTGAAGCCCTCAGTTGGGCCAGCTGATGCCCTCAGTTGGAGCAGCTGACGCCCTTAGTTGGGGCAGCTGATTCCCTCAGTTGGGACAGCTAATGCCCTCAGTTGGGCCAGCTGATGCCCACAGTTGGAGCAGCTGACGCCCTTAGTTGGGGCAGCTGATGCCCTCAGTTGGGACAGCTAATGCCCTCAGTTGGGCCAGCTGAAGCCCTCAGTTGGAGCAGCTGACGCCCTTAGTTGGGGCAGCTGACGCCCTTAGTTGGGGCAGCTGACGCCCTTAGTTGGGGCAGCTGATGCTCTCAGTTGGAGCAGCTGACGCCCTTAGTTGGGGCAGCTGACGCCCTTAGTTGGGGCAGCTGATGCCCTCAGTTGGAGCAGCTGATGCCCTCAGTTGGAGCAGCTGATGCCCTCAGTTGGAGCAGCTGACGCCCTTAGTTGGGGCAGCTGATGCCCTCAGTTGGAGCAGCTTATTCCCTCAGTTGGAGCAGCTGACGCCCTTAGTTGGGCCAGCTGATTCCCTCAGTTGGAGCAGCTGATGCTATATCCTGTTGCTCGCCCCGTTCGGAGCGGCAGACAATCCCAGTAGCGTAACTTACGAGGGCTGCGGATGCACTTTGATGATCCACTACCTTAAATTCTACGCTTGCAAGCAGTGAAGGATGGAAGAATTAAGGTTTTGGTGTAGTCGGGGGATGGAAGGAATTACCCCACTTGTGGGGAGATACCTCATTATCGGTATTAACCCATGATATAAATTAACCCCATGCGCTGCATTACCACATGAGCTGCATTACCCCATGAGCTGCATTACCCCATGAGCTGCATTACCCCCATGAGCTGCATTACCCCAGGAGCTGCATTACCCCATGAGCTGCATTACCCCATGATCTGCATTACCCCGTGAGCTGCATTACCCCGTGAGCTGCATTACCCCATGAGCTGCATTACCCCATGAGCTGCATTACCCCATGAGCTGCACTAGCCCATGAGCTGCATTACCCCATGAGCTGCATTACCCCGTGAGCTGCATTACCCCATGAGCTGGATTACCCCATGAGCTGCATTACCCCATGAGCTGGATTACCCCATGAGCTGCATTACCCCATGAGCTGCATTAGCCCATGAGCTGCATTACCCCGTGAGCTGCATTACCCCATGAGCTGGATTACCCCATGAGCTGCATTACCCCGGGAGCTGCATTACCCCATGAACTGCATTACCCCATGAGCTGGATTACCCCATGAGCTGCATTACCCCATGAGCTGCACTAGCCCATGAGCTGCATTACCCCATGAGCTGCATTACCCCATGAGCTGCATTACCCCATGAGCTGCATTACCCCATGAGCTGCATTACCCCATGAGCTGCATTACCCCATGAAGCGTTTCTGCCAAATGTTCCTGCGAAGCGTTCTTATCAAATCTTCCTGCAAAGCTTTCTATTTCAATGTTCCTGTGAAGCGTTCTTGTCAAACGTTCCTGCGAAGTGTTCTTGTCAAATGTTCCTGCGAAGCGTTCTTGTCAAATGTTCCTGCGAAGCGTTCTTGTCAAATGTTCCTGCGAAGCGTTCTTGTCAAATGTTCCTGCGAAACGTTTCTGCCTAATATTCCTGCGGAGCGTTCCTGCCAAACGTTCCTGCCAAGCGTTCCTGCGAAGCGCTCCTGCTAAACGTTCCTGCCAAATGTTCCTCCCGAATGTTCCTGAAACATGAAAGCATTCCTGCCAAACGTTCATGTAAAATGTCCCTGCAGCACACAGTATTTTAAGCCCTCATCGTTTACAGGTATAGTGCAGACCCTGGCCACGCCAGCCTCTCCTTTGTTCCCGCAGGTTCACGCCTCTTGACCCATAAAGTAATCTCTGACCTTCACTTATCACTGTTATTATCACTGTAATTATCACGTCTTGTTAAGCCGCACGCCTCGACACTCACTTGACATGTCATGAGTACTCGCCACTTCACAGCTTAGTGGTAATGAGATCACCTATTAACACCTTACAGGTAATGAGATCACTTCATTAACAGCCTGCTTGTAAAGAGATCACCTAATTAACAGCGCCCAGGTAATGAGATCACTTCATCAACAGCCTGCTTGTAAAGAGATCACCTAATTAACAGCGCCCAGGTAATGAGATAACCTATTTAACAGCTCTAAGTTAATGAAATCACCTATTCAACAGCTCGTAGGCATTGATATCACCTTATTAACATCTTACAGGTAAGGAGATCACTTCATTAACAGCCTGCTTGTAAAGAGATCATCTAATTAACAACGCCCAGGTAATGAGATAACCTATTTAACAGTTCTAAGTTAATGAGATCACCTATTTAACAACTCGCAGGTAACGAGATAACTAATTTAACAGTTTGCAGGTAATGAGATCACCTATTTAACAGCTCGAAATTAATGATACCACCTAATTACCAGCTCGTAGGTAATGACTTCACTTCACTTTCGCTGCTCCCACGATGCGCCGAAGTTCACACGCTCGCGTACGAGGTCGCCCCAATGGCCGCAGTCCCGCATTTTACGTTTAATTTGGTGAAGTATTTACAGCGCATTGTTTCTCAAGGCACGGTACTGCATCGTCTCGTGTGTCTGTATGATGTGTTCATGTGTGTTCATTGTTTCTCAAGGCACGGTACTGCATCGTCTAATGTGCCTGTAATACCTGTATGATGTGCACGGTACTGCAACGTCTCGTGTGTCTGTATGATGTGCACGGTACTGCAACGTCTCGTTTGTCTGTATGATGTGCACGGTACTGCATCGTCTCGTTTGTCTGTATGATGTGCACGGTACTGCATCGTCTCGTGTGTCTGTATGATGTGCACGGTACTGCATCGTCTCGTGTGTCTGTATGATGTGCACGGTACTGCATCGTCTCGTGTGTCTGTATGATGTGCACGGTACAGCATCGTCTCGTGTGTCTGTATGATATGCACGGTACTGCATCGTCTCGTGTGTCTGTATGATGTGCACGGTACAGCATCGTCTCGTGTGTCTGTATGATATGCACGGTACAGCATCGTCTCGTGTGTCTGTATGATATGCACGGTACTGCATCGTCTCGTGTGTCTGTATGATGTGCACGGTACTGCATCGTCTTGTGTGTCTGTATGATGTGCACGGTACTGCATCGTCTCGTGTGTCTGTATGATGTGCACGGTACTGCATCGTCTCCTGTGTCTGTATGATGTGTTCATATGTGTTCATATGTGTTCATTGTTGCCCCGAGTCTTGTTTTATATACAATAAAATGTAGTAGTCTGATGGCGCGTCACTCGTGATAGCAAGGCGGACCGACGTTCAATAGCCATCGGTTCAGAAATAAACGGCAAAAATATTATTTGCGAAGATGAGAATCAGTGAAAGAGACTTTAAGATGCAGATTGTTTTTTCCTTTTCCTTTTCCTTTAAGAACTCGGTGTCTTGTATGCGTCAAACACGAGTGGTTAATGACCAGTGAATTAATTAATTTAAAGTTCCACGATCGAACAATATTTTTTAAATGAAGTTGTTTGATCAAATTTCAGGTTCACGGAAATAATTTTAATTTATTAACGAGGGTTCCTATGTGACAACCTTTATTTTCAAGTTATAGGAACCATTGAATAATGAAATTTTTTTGAAATAAATTATATGAGACACTGGAACCACTTATATGAGACAAAATTGGAACCGGGAAAAAAAACTCGAAACCATCTCTCAAAATTCAGAAAATCCGGTAGTTGTGAGATGGACAGCTGGAGTGCAATCCGTAGAGATGAAGGCTTCAGCCACTGCAAGATGAAAAAGCTGGTGGGTTCCTCCAGCACAGTGGGAGTGACGGTCTCGGTGTGTTTAACGTTGCCACGGACATTGTATTTGTTTCATTAAGGTTTGAAATTATATTTCATTCATTGAATATATATGCAATATATTCATTCACAATTATTTCATTTAAGCTAATTCTGTCAGCGATTCTAGCTGGAGAAATAACATTATAGAAACCTTCGTTAAGATGAACGGTAAAAATCCGTTTACGAGTCCACCGATCAGGGCACTGATGACCTCAGCACATCAGAAGCAAGAGTCTCTAGTGAACACACGCACAAAAACGTGGCACAATGACGTCATCGTCTTCACCTTCGCGTCATCTCAATCATGTCACTTCTCTCTATTTCACCACAATTACAAATATCATTGGTTGGGTCATTTGGACTCTCTTGGGCTCGACAAGCTATTGCCGAGAAAACCAGACCATACAGGAGGCCCTCGGAATGTTTATAAATTTCCTCTAAAAGAGCCCGATATTGAAAAATTAATGCAAATGCTGCAAGAATTAAATCCGTAAGACTAAATAAAAATCGTCGAACTTGGGACAGCCACGTAGGCTCGTCCAAGTGTGTTACTCGTGTTACCAAGTTGCAGGCCACGCGATCCCTGTCATGAGCTAACACGTACAGCCCTATGTAATCCTTCCCAATCAGTAATTGCATGGATAAATAATGAATGCATGGATGGTGAAGAATGAGGAGAGTACACAAGTATTCGAACTACTGACATTCAATGGCAACATTCAAATAAAACTTCAGCTATATAAGGCATCTACCGAATGAATGCTTATTAGTACATCGGAATCTTTCCGTAAATACCATCATACTTTTTCTAACTTTGATAATAAATCATGGCGCATTGTCTATTATAACACAAGCATATTGTTTAATCATGAAATCTTCCTTCTCCAACAGATGCCAAGTCTGTTGTTCGCACTCATGCGGCATGGAGCATGTGAGTCAGCGACGGATGCTGATCCCGCCATTGTCTCCCACCGAGGTCCCCTCAGCCGAGCCTCCTTCCCAGCACTCTACACTACCCCTCTTCCTCCCCACGGCTTCCATGCTCCTTCATATGCATTCCCTTCTCCAGATTTATTCCTTTCCGCTCTCAGATTCGGTCAGTCGCAACCAAGCTTTGTATTCTCCCCGTCAGGGCCTCTTCAATCATCCCTGCTGCATCATCAGCTTCTTGGATTTTCGACCCCGTCTCCGTTTATCAAACAAAAGTTCGCGCACGAAGAAAATATTTTACAGACCCTGCATCATTCGAAACCACTTCATGGCTTTTCTCCGAGAATTTGTAACCGTGAACCACCACCAAAGTGCTCGTACAACACCACAAAACCTTGGTGCAACGTGGACCACTACTACCCTTTGTTCGACATAGAGGCTGACCTCCATTACCACAGAAGAGGAGTGGCGGGTCTGTATGCGGACGTGGCAAATCTTGACACCACGAACTCTGTTGTTGGTCCACTCAAGCTAATTGACGAAACCTACTTGTGTCCTTCACAAACTAATTACATTCGACCTCTGCGAGCCCAGGACATTAAGGGAACGTGGAGAATTATTGTCAACGGCGTGAAGATCGACAATGAACATCTAACCCAAACGGTGAGGATGGAGGAGTGTCATCACCATGGGCTGCCATGCCCTCTCTTGCCCCATTGTTACTCGTCAACGTGTCTTCAGAAGTCGACCTTTCAACGATTCTTGGTGTACGACCCTTGCGATGCTCGATTCCCCTTCGCCACGCAGACTTTCAAATTCCCTACGTCCTGCTCATGCCGACTGGACGATTCTTACGTCATCAATTAACGTGACTAAAATTCCTGCTGGTGTTGACTGTACGACTACCACGTCATACACCAGCGGGGCCAAACTTCCTTCTGGTGTTGACTGTAGACTAGTTGACGTACCAGAGACTAGTTGACGTACCAGAGACTAGATGACGTACCTGAGACTAGTTGACGTACCTGAGACTAGTTAACGCAACGTAATGCAATGTAAAATCCTGCACTGACGCTACTCACGTGATGGTACGCAAAGAAACAGTTCTGTGAATTAATTCGATTTCCTAAAGAATCTTCAATTAATAGACGTGACTATGATCATATTCTGTTAGTTGAAGTTTCAGCGACTTATTGAAGTTAGTAGTGGATGTAAATTCAGAGTCGAGGAATACGTTCAATGTGGCTTTAAGCAGCGAATGTTTACTTTGGTTTCGAGTCACCAAGCTACAGCAGGATTATTGCCGATCACATCAACATGGAATTACAGTGCAGGATAGCCACGAGTGTTGCACAGTTGTTAACAGCTTATTATATGCATGTTACAGTTCGGTATATTTGTGTAGGCAGTAAAGCACACAATTCAAGGAGCGTTGTTATTCCAAGGACGGTAAGATGAGAGGTAGCAGGATTGATACAATGATATACCTAGTATATTTAAGTGAATGAACAACATTGATGGACAGTGATATGTTACTCTTATACTGTATTTACGGTATATTATAATGTATTTTTATACAGTATTTAAACGATAGTTAACTGTATATATATGTAGTATTCTATATTTATATAATTCTACATTACTAATGCAGTATACCAGCACTATACTGAGATATTTTTATATTTAAACTTACCTTCGTCAAGTCTTTATACTCTTCACCTTTTAAATACTTCGCAACAGAGTCTCCCAGAATAAAGCACCGTGAAAACATATCAATAATGCCACTATCAGCATGGTGCTTCTATTACAAATGCTGACAGTGAAATCTAGGCTGGCATAGTACGAAGTAATCTAGGCACATGAAGTTTGTGACGTGCTAGAGTCTGCCTCGTCACCGCTGCACATGACGTTTGTGACGTGCTAGAGTCTGCCTCGTCACCGCTGTACATGACGTTTGTGACGTGCAAGAGTCTGCCTCGTCACCGCTGCACTTGACGTTTGTGACGTGCTAGAGTCTGCCTCGTCACTGCTGTACATGACGTTTGTGACGTGCTAGAGTCTGCATCGTCTTTACGACTGTCATCGTCACGTGGTGACAAGATCAGCCTCACTGAAGGCGTTTTTTATAATGGTTAATAAGTCGCTTCTGATGTACTGCAAGAAATAAGGAAAGGAATAAGGATGAAGAAATAACGTTGAATGCCAGACCTGAATGACTTCTTTCTAGCTATATTAGTGCGGTAAACCAGGCTTCGAATGCATCAAGATGCAGTAAAGACAATTTCACAAACTATCCACGGTTTAGAACAACAATTCCAAACTAAATAGAAAAAAAAATAAAAAGAGAACAGAATGTTGGAAATTTTCGAATTTCTTTTAAGTTGTAAATTTTGAGCACTTTTTCTCCAAATCTATTGTTAGGTATGGGTTTGTTAATAGTAGATGTGTCTGTGAAACTTGGTGGTAAAAATATTCTATTTAATTTTTCTCCGGCAGGTGTGTGAAGCCATTCCTTACTAATTTCTTTACTTTAGTTTGAGTGATCACTCTTTGCGTTTAGTTTAATTTATTTTTGTATAAAATGCATGTTCGCGCTTTCTTTCAGTAGAAGACCGCCGACTCCAGGGTTAAAATTGAGGTTAGCCTTTTATTTTGGCTCTACCACCAAGACTTTTGAGCTTCGGTTTATTACTAGAATAACGTTAATATTTATTCTGAACCTTTTTGGGGAAGCTTGGTTTTTTCTACGCTAAAGTCACTGGTTAATTTTGGAGTCTGCCCTCCTTTTCTTCTACTTTCATTATTTTCCTTAACCAGGGCCCATACTTTCAAAACTCGCTAAGTGAACGTAAGTACTTACGCTCTATTTTCTTGTCTATGATTGGTGAATTTTGCTTGAAAGGCCGCCAATGATTGGCTGATGAACTTACGATCTCTTAACTTTCTTTGAAAGTATAGAACCTGGCCTCTTAAATTGACTCTTAAATTTACAGCTTATCCACTTGCTGGCAAAAGATTTTAAGATGGTTGCGGGGCTGTAGCTATTCTGATATATTGCGACATACATTTAGGCTCGTAGAGCTTATATTTTAATTACCATTTAATTATTTATTACCATTTTAAACTTTTGGGATTTTCAGCAACACATGGCATGCTATTTCAGAGATCCTTCTGGATGTTCAGGGTGTATAAATTTCTTGCTTCTAAGCGTGAATTTATTGAATCTTACTGTGATGTTGGAAGAATAATACTGTTTTGCTGAATGGTAAATTTAAACGTTATTTCTTGATTCGACAGTTATGTTGGGCCGGGCTTATTTGACTGTATAACGTCGACGAGCCTGTGTTGAACCCGCTAGTAAGCTTTATTTTTTGGAACTTTGTTCTTTTCTGAATTTTCTGTAAATTGTCAGCTTTATCAAGCTTTTGGACTTTCTTCTTCTGACCAAGTTCTAAAATAGAGGTTCATTTGTTCACAGTTTTAGTATTAAGCTCAACAAGAACGACGAATTCCTCCTTGCAATAAACATAGAGTGGTCTGTCGCACGCCTGACATTTGTTTGAAAATTTGCACTGTTGCACACTCGCATTTGTTTTTACGACATCCTTTCCCGGAACAACTAATTAATTTAATCTTCATAAAACGAGTTATATAAAAGTACAAAAAATTAACAACTATTTTTTTATTCAATCGCCATAATACGAGTTATATTAAAGTAAAAAAAAAACTAATAAATTCAATCACTATAATGCGAATCATGTTAGAGTACAAAAAAAGGAACAACTAATTATTTCAATCACCATAATACGAATCATATTAGAGTACAAAAAAATGAAAAACTAATTGCTTTAATCGCCATAATACGAATAATATTAAAGTATATTCTAATTCTACACATTCTTAGTCCATAATTTCTATGTAACGCAAACTCGTTTATTTCCAGGGTAATCGCTAGTGAAGCTCCCGCACTTAAAATAAAGATTACAGAGAATAACGTAGGAATAAAACTGCAGCAGGCTGACGGCAGGCTGTAGGACAGTTAGGCCAGCTCATCCATAAGCCTGCACTATGCAGGAGCAGGCTGACGGCAGGCTGAAGGACTCATCCATAAGCCTGCACCACGCAGGAGCAGGCTGTAGGACAGTTAGGCCAGCTCATCCATAAGCCTGCGCCACGCAGGAGCAGGCTGACGGCAGGCTGTAGAAGGACTCATCCATAAGCCTGCGCCACGCACGAGCAGGCTGACGGCAGGCTGTAGAAGGACTCATCCATAAGCCTGCGCCACGCACGAGCAGGCTGACGGCAGGCTGAAGGTGTCCACGAAGAGCCGGTTGGTGACGTCACACGGGTCCATCACCAGCAGCTGAGTCAGCGAAAACTTCTGCACGCAGCGACTGCCGTAGCGGGGAGCCACCAGGCGGCATGGGTGCTCGGGGTGCCTGAGGAAGGAAGGACTTCGTTCCTAAGGGTACCCATACAGTGAAAGCAGGTTTGCCCGTGCGGGCAACATGCTTCAATTAACCTGCCACAGGAATGAACATAGGATAATAATGTAAGTGTTCACAGTGAAAACCTGTACGAATAGGCTTCTGTATTCTATGGTTTCAGGCGCCAGCCTGAGCAGGTAGCCAGCACGCTGGCAACCTGCTTTCACTGTGTGCGTACCCTAATGCACTGTACCGTGTCAAATCTCCAACATAATTAAAACTATTGCTAGAAAAAGGCCTACAGCCAGCAGTGGAGTTGTCGCAGGTAGGCTCAATTTGAAAGGATATGCTCAATTGGGTAGGATTTGATAAAATACTCCAAATACTGACTGAGAAAAGTTCTCCTACGACGAAAAGTGATTTCTCAGTTTCGTTTTCTTATGATTGAAAGACTCAACTTAATGCACAAAACAATCAATAAAGGACGTTTTAGAGCGTATTCCCTAATATGGTACAGTAATCATCATTATGCACGTATCACTGATACTGACAAGCATCGCTCGGTCCTGATACGCTGCACGACGTTGGCCACGTTCTGCACGATGACGCGCCAGCGTCCCTGAGCGTTCTTGGCGCGCAGGGGCAGATTGTACGACACCACCGAGGGGCACACGTAGCCTGGAACGAGTGGTTTACCTTTGAGGGATAGGTTATTGATGGTAGTAATGGTTCTATGGTACACGATAGCGGAAGATAATGATAGGTGACGCTGTACTTCTTCAATGCCGAGCCACCGTGTTGTGGAAGGTCCTGGATTATGGTATGACGACTGTGGTATGCCACAGTCCTGGGTTGTGGTATGAGTAGCTATACTCACCCTCTGTACCCAGCCAGTGCGTGACGTCATACAGTCCTGGGTTGTAGTATGAGTAGCTATACTCACCCTCTGTATCCAGCAAGTGCGTGACGTCATACAGACTTACAGTCCTGGGTTGTAAGTCTGTACAGTCCTGGGTTGACGTCATACAGTCCTGGGTTGTGGTATGAGTAGCTATACTCACCCTCTGTACCGAGCCAGTGCGTGACATCATACAGTCCTGGGTTGTGGTATGAGTAGCTATACTCACCCTCTGTGCCCAGCCAGTGTGTGACGTCATACAGTCCTGGGTTGTGGTACGAGTAGCCGAAGCTTAACTCGCGCTGTCGGGACAAGCCAGCGACCAATGAGAAGCTGCCACGCGGGCCAGTCGAAGAGGCGTTGGCGAAGTACGACGCAAGACGAGCGTTCGACGAGAGCGCCTGAAGGACCTCTCTCCTGTCGGTTACAATAAAGTTCCTCCAGTGTACAATGACTAACAATGAACTGTAGAAATAAAATGATCAGCTCTAAAACTTGCCTGGAAAGTTGGTCTTTAAACGATGCAAGACGAGCGTTCGACGAGAGAGCCTGATGGACCTCTCTCCTGTCGGTTACAATAAAGTTCCTCCAGTGTACAATAACGAATAATGAACTATTGAAATAAAATGATCAGCTCTAAAATTTGCCTGGGATTTGGTCTATAACCTATGAATGTTATTGGCACCAGTCCAATAAAATTAAAGATGTCTTTAATGAAGGCGTTGGGGAATTTTTCATGTCAAAACATTTTGAAATTACATTTTGGTCTGAAAATGTAGTGTTATTTTTCCTATTACATACTGATTAGATTAATTAAATCTACGTCTTCAATTTTGCGAGTTATTGAAGAAAATATTGAAAAGAAAGGGGTATACGAATAATTTTGTCGCTAACTGTAGTGTGTGAATAAAATGTAGACCAAGATATTATTATTCTACGTGGACTCTTCAGGCGATTACTTACCGCGGGTACGATGGATCCGTCAAGCAGAAGTCAGCGCCCTGAGGTGCACAAGCTGGAGACTCAACGGGGCGGCAAATGACCGTCCCCTCAGGAGAGATGGGCACACCGAGAGCGTGTTTTGTTTCGGGACTCACCGAAGAACTTGTCTGATTCTTTGGCCGGAGCATTGACAAAAACATAGAGGTTCCATGAAATTCGGGTATTATGAATTTGGATCCAGAACGGGGGATGTTGGCTATAAATTTTGAATTTTCTTTGTCCAATGTGGTGAGCTTGTTGAAATTTGAGGTAATTGCGGAGGTAGCCTGCGTACCAGTGTGCACCGTCGATTCCTTCTCCATTTCACCAAGAAATTGGGGATCATCCAACTGCGGTGAGCGGGTGCTGGATGTTGTGGAGTGGAAAGAATTATCTCGATTGGGTAATATCTGCACTAGATCAAATGCAGGAGTGCCACCGAACTCAAACCCAGCGTTAGGTCGCACCCTGTCCAAGATAGCCGAAGGAAGAAGCGGGTTAGGAAGTAGAGTGCTGATTCGTGTAGTGTTTTCAATTGATTTTTCTTCAGTAAAGATTGCTGCATCACTGTCAGCTGAAATTGGGGGACGAGGAGTGTCGATAAGGAATGAAATTTGGTCAGGCAATGCGACTTGCTGATCTTTCAGATGACCAGAAGTGAAAGGGAGGAAAGTCGCTCCAGATGTGTTGACTGTGAGAGCCGTCTTTAGGTTTGGAAGAAGTGTCACCGACGCCGGAAAGTTTGTCCCTGGGAGGAGCTGCAATGATGGAATCGTTGCAGACAAATTTTTCTTTGGCTGTTGCGTGTTCACCAAATTTTCTGGTTCGGCTCGAGTTAACGATGATTGGAAAGAAGTTGAAATCGCTTCATCTGACTTGTTGGGGTCAGCAGGAGTTCCAGATATTTTTTCGCCGGGAAAATCCATATTCATTCCCTGAATGGCTTTGAAATCGTCGAATGATTGACCAGAAATCGACTTTGGACGTGAAATATGCGAAACGGCATCAAAAACTGGCAGTTGGGATCTAGGTGCAACAGCTGGCTGAGTCTGGAAGCTGGATATCGCCGCCGTGCTGGTGTTGAGGAACGAGTGAGTGAGAATTTCAGAGAAGCGCGTGAGGTGCTCAGAACTTGGCATCATGGAAGGAGGTCCCGACGTTGAGAAGTTGCCATGCATCGCCTGCGTGAGACTGGCCAGCAGGAGCTGTGGTGACAGACACAGCCGGTCAAGCAGCATAGGGACAATAATGGGAACTGTGAGGTTAGGCGTGCAATTGAAGGAAAATAAAGTAAAATGGTCATGCAAGAAGAGCACTAACAACCATATCACCCGCTATACTTTTTTACTTTTTTTTTCTTTTTCTCTCTTCTTTTTGCCACACATTTCCTACGACACACAGCAATCCCCCAATTGTGGCCTTTTCCTGTGTGTACCATTAGTGTTTAAAATAATCTTACATTAGTTTTACCTAGCCAAAAAACCCTAACCTAACCAAACCGAACTGAACACAAACAACCAAGAACAAATCGACCGAAAACCTTTTGTCAGTAAAGCGAAATGCTTACATGCAAAATAAAATTTGGAAAGGAATGCAGTGTTTCTAGGACACAGTTGAACGTGAATGAATGAACATCACCTATGACCATATATTTTCAACTAAGGATTAATGTGAGAAGACTTGTCACGAAAATAAAATGTAGCCATTACTAGTATTTAGCATCGACTGACAGGCTTTTTTCTAACAGTAGGAATCTAACTTGATTTGACAAGCTAATTTCCGTGCAATGAATGAAATTTAATAATAAATTATAAACTTACGACATTCTGTCGAGATGATTTGGACAACGATCTGTGTCACATTAATAAATTCTAATTTGAGAAGCTGGATCGTCATTTTTTGTCATGCGTGTGATTTCGACGGAAACTGCTTTTTTTGATCGTGCTAGGTGCATATTAAATAAGTCGCGTGTTAGACATGTGAGTTCTTGTGAACAACTTCTGCTGTTACAATAGGAAACGTTTACAATATTTAAATGATTTATTTATTCCATGGACTGCATTTATCAACATTAAAATGCGGGATTTTTAAGTGAAGTGCTCACCAGCAGCACTGATGCAGTTGATCGTCCCCTGTCCCGCGGTGCCTCATTCACGCCCCTGCCAACTGGCGGGACGTCATGGCGTCCGGTGCCGTGTATCCTCAGAAGTTCTGAAATTGTTTCACGATCTTCTGAGAAAAAGTCAGCTTCATCGTCAGTTCCTGCCAATGAATCGTCAAATGTATCGATTGCTTCTGGCAGAGAGTCTGGTTCATTGTGGTCATGGAACTGTTCGAGGGACAGTGTTTCAACTTCATGCGGCTGAAAGTAAAACTCGGCAGAATCTCTCAGCCAATCCGAAATTTTATTTTGAGTAACAATTATTTGCTCAAAAGTTGAACTAGAATCCTCGGGAACTTCTCTTTGAGCCGTTGGAGGAATGTGTGGAGTATGAGAAGTCTGAATCGGTAGTTGCTCACGCAGTTTGTGCTGTAAAAATTTGGGCGCGTTTAGCGAATTTAACTTTGACGCTCGTCTAGGTGGATCCGGAAATTTTTCTTCAGCAATAGTTGTCTGTTCAGAGTTTATTCCTTCTTGTAAATCTAACAAGGGTTGTGAACTCGGCAGAGAATCATCTGGCGTGTCAGCGAGGCTCAAGGTCGAGGTTTCGACGTATAAATTAATGTACGTAGAGCTCTCTTCCGTGCCTGCGACCGTCTTGTCGGCTGTAAAGTCATCAATACCATTCGGAGTCGTGAGCCCAACAGCTGGTGTCAGGTCACTAACTTTAGGTTGGTTCACCAGTTCATGTGCAGCATCATCCACCGCTTTGACTTGATCGTCAATCCGACCGACGTGCTGACTGCTCGAAGTGACCACCTCCACAGACTGAACAATGAGGCGTTTTAGATCAAAGCTTTCAGACGGTGTCATCTCGATGGACTTATGAGAGCTTCTCTCAGGTTTTGGATGCTTGTTGCTTACTGCCTCTACTTCCAAAAAGTTGACAGATGAGGCATCATCTTCTGCATCGACAACCTTTGCTTCTTTCTCAAAGAAAACGTACCGAGATCCGTCGTTCAAAAAATTTGTATCATTCTCAAACTTCCACCTAGGTATTTTTACCACGTAGAATTCAGTGGTATTCTTCATGAAATCCAACGCCTTGGCATCGAGTAGCGATGCATATTTGGAAGTTCCCTGCGTCTGCCTCGGTACATCGTGGGCAACCTCTTTAAGGGAAGAGACGGCCATGTTTGCAACTGGGTTAAGTTTTATATGGTATGCAGCAGAGACACCGAATTCTTCATTCTTCATTGACTCTAAGTTTGACAGCTCACGTTGCCTGCTGCCACCATCAACTTCTAGCTGATCACTGTCGTCACCATCCTGCATGGAATGACTATGACCCACACCATCAACGTGCAGTTGATCATCACCACTACCCTGCACATCAGCGCTCTGCAAGGCTGTCTCAGCTCTTGCTGCTGTAGAGAGAAACGAAGCTATTTTCTGCGCGAGAGAGTCAAACATTGCGAGTTTTTACTGCACAACTATAACAAAAAATCAAGCCAATTTTTGTTCAAAGTAATAGTTCCGGGTTGCAAAGTGTCAAACTAATGGACGTAGCTGGTCTCAAAACTACCTACAAATGGACATTAATCCCATTTTTAATTTGTTTTAATAGACGTAATGTTCATTTACCCGCACGTGTGAATATACTTAACAACTTGTTGCTTATTTAGACTGCGGGGACACAAGTCTCATTCCCCACCGACATGTCCTTCCCGACTGTTACTCGGGCAGGGCCGGCGGGAGCTTTAATGCCACGAGGCTTCCCTCTCTCCCAGGATGGCGCGTTGAAAAAAAACGCTGCAAATGGCATCGGTGTTGGGCAAAGCATTGAAGCCTCCGTAATTAGGCTAGGCTGCAATACGAAGCTGCAACGAGTGCTGCAACTCTCCTCTCCCTTAACTACCTAATTAGGAGGACCCAGTCAAGTAATTGGGGCAACTGCCGAGGAATAGAATTGTCTTATTATTTTTTCTGGGTTTTCTCGGCGTGCATCGATTACAAAATTACGAGTTTTGAGACGTTCGTTGGATTTAGCATCGCAAAGCGAGTTTCATTCTGTCGTTGTAAACTGTTACCTGTTAACACTGTTAATAGTTAACTGTTAACACTGTTAACAGTTAACTGTTACCTGTGTAACTGTTAACTGTTAACCGTTATCTGTTCACACGCTCATTCATAGTTGCAATGACCTTCTGTGTAGGACTTCGAAGCAGTTGATCCTGGCGACGCTTGAAAAGTTCTTTTGATTTGAGAATCACTTCATGGAATCGTCTTTGTACCTGTCATAACAAATTCAGAATTGAAATAATCAGCGTCGAGAACACACCCGCGCAAGCTTCATCTAATAAAAAACACTAATTGAATAACCGTTTTCAAATTCAAAAGATGATTCACTTTTTTTCCTGTATCAAATTTCTGCTAAGATAAATTTCAGATTTGAATGAATTATAATTTTTTGACTAAACCCAATGGTTGCACTATTATGAATAATATATCACACTCAAACTGTACCTACTCTGGTAAATGATTTATTGAGGATAAGCGTTTACAGAATGCTTCAGCGTTTATGCTTCATATTTTCAAATTTCGCTATGCAAGATATAGCACAGTGAACAATTGTACCATGTAGCATTGTCGGGATACAGCATCAGACACCCTTACAGACAATCAGACACCCATACAATCAGACACCCATACATACAATCAGATACCCATACAGACAATCAGACACCCATACAATCAGAGACCCATACAGACATACAGACAATCAGACACCCATACAATCAGAGACCCATACAGACAATCAGATACCCATACAGACAATCAGACACCCATACAATCAGACACCCATACAATCAGACACTCAATCGGACACCCATACAGACAATCAGACACCCATACTGACAATCGGACACCCATACAGACAATCAGACACCCATACAGGTGCTGTACACGACGGTATGGGGGTGGGGGTGCATGTTTCCTCTCACCCGTTGACGCAAGAAGCTCTGTCGCCGCAATGACTCTCACACGTCCAATCTTTTGCCAATGGCTTGCCAATTACGAAGCCTGGCTTGCCAATTACGAAGCCTAGCTTGCCAATTACGAAGCCAGGTTCCAATTATTGGCTCCTGAAAAATTCCTGCCCAATCGTCGGCCGCCGCCTGGCGGTGACGCAACTGTCATGGCGGCTTGCATGGATCGCTAACGTTGCATAAAAATAAAGCAATTTACTGCACGATAACTTGTAAACGATAACTTGTAAGCTACAGCAATTGACTGCACGATATGTTGTAAATTATACCATTCATTTATATGTTTTAGCTTTTGAACAATCATTCATTAAAAAACTACAGATGTAGCCTACCGTCGTTTTATGAGGTCTACCTGAAACTAAACTGAAAAATCAAGCACCACAAATGAAAAAAAGTAAAAAAAATTTACTAAAAACACAGGTATGAAAAAATGAAATTAAGTAGCGCAGGAAATAGCACAGCAAAGTAAAATATATATTATAAAATACAACTATATATTAAATGAAGTAAAGTATGGTTCAAATTCTGTAAAATATTTTGTCTTCATAAGTACTCCTACATAAACTACAGATATCAATTAAGGCATGATTTTATGATTTGCTCGCCACGCAATCAGATGACACACATGGAAGTAACGAGCACAGAACTATTTAATTTCCCAATCGTGAACTATCCTTTACTAAACATAATATTTCAGCGCATGGATCCAAACACAAGTGAAATTTCTGGGTTGTTCAGTGTTTGTTGACTGTGGATCATTGCTGTACATTCTACTACGCAACGACATTAAATCTTGCAAAATTTAAGTCATTGCATCACAGTGATATTGTTAAAATTACTAATGTTATTTTAGCTTAAAATGCCGTTTTTAAGTAAATTGTCTATGCATTTTTAATTTTGATTTTAATATTTTTAACACGCAAAATAGTCGAAACCCAAATAATTTGAGCTCAAATTTTTAGAGAAAATACTGCCATTTGGATTCCTCTCTGCGCCAGAGCTGCAGGCTTGCTTTAGACTCATTGCTTTAGACTCATTGCTTTAGACTCATTAGAATAGAATAGTATAGAAGTGTCGGCACTGAAGAAATAGGCCCATGGCCTGTTGCCGATTCTTGAACTTTTCGTGACTTGATTCACAAGGGATCCGGCCTTTGGAACCCGATCCTTCCATAGCTGACGATTGATTGAGATAGCTGCTGGACTTATTGCCTGGTCCGTAATTTGCTAGGCATTTTAAGACTGAACATATGCTCCTGCATAGCTTCGTCTGGACTTATTGCCTGGTCCGTAATTTGCTAGGCATTTTAGGACTGAACATATGCTCCTGCATAGCTTCTTCTAGTCTGTTTTTGTGCTTGAGACTCATTGCTTTAGACTCATTGCTTTAGACTCATTGCTCTAGACTCATTGCTTTAGACTCATTGCTTTAGACTCATTGCTTTAGACTCATTGCTTTAGACTCATTGCTTTAGACTCATTGCTTTAGACTCATTGCT